GGGAAAGAGAGAAGATGGAGAGGGAGAAGGGACGAGAAAAACAGACTGAAGATCCTACAGATAGGGAAATGGCTGTAGACCAAAGTGATAAAGGGAATGCTGGGGATGCGGAGCATGGGGCTTCTACAGGTATTTCTTTGTGTTCCTTAGACTTCTCCAGTTCAAGCTCTGCTGATAGTTTATTAGGTGCGTTCTACTGCTTTTCAATTTACATTTCAATGTTATGGATTGTGCAGGCGCAGAACCTATGGATGTTGTAAGGATCTCTACATTTCAGACTTGTAACATTCCTACTTCTGATGTGATGATTTTGAAAGGGCATAGTTCTGAGGTATTATATTACGTGGTGTAGCGGCCTTTCAAGAGACATGCTTATTAGTTGTTGGTATCTTTATATGTATATATATTTTATCCTTAAGCTGAGATCTTGTTTACTCTCTGCGTTCTTCATATAGGTCAGTGCTTGCGCATGGAGTCCAACAGCTTCACTTCTTGCATCAGGGTAAGCACTCTTATTGATAAGGATGAGCTCATTTGCAAATATTATGTCTTCTGGTTGTCTGTTTATGTATATTTTGAAACAAGAGTTGAATGCTGTATTTGTATGTCTTGCAAAATATCAGGTCCGGTGATGCTACAGCACGTATCTGGACAATTCCAGAAGGTACATCCAGATCTGGGTTGCATAATGGTCCTTTAAACGTCTTGATGTTGAAGCATGTAAAAGGAAGGACAACTGACAAGAGCAAGGATGTGACAACTCTTGACTGGAATGTGAGTTCCATTGCATTCTTATTGACTTAGTCATTTCTTGTTATGATAATGATCTATGCCAACTGCCAAGTTCTCAAAAGCCAGAAAATATGTCCACGCGGATGCATTAGTTTTATCTTCTTCTTCTGTTATATGTTCTCCGATTTTGTGAATCTCTAGGGAGAGGGAACTTTACTTGCTACTGGTTCATGTGATTGCCAAGCAAGGATTTGGACTACAAATGGTATGGATTTCTAGTCAGTTACATGACTAAACATCTTGTATGAAATCCTTCTTTGTGAATTAGTCTGTACTTTTACTCATTCTCTTATTATGGTTTATTAAAATCTCTCTCGTGTCTATAGGATAGTTTCCCTCTAAATCAAATTTATATCCACATTACTCTGACTATGTGCTACAAGCACAGTCCAGATTCAGGTTGCTTGTTGCTTGGTTCATGAGCCATACTAATGCCAGGGGTGAAAATGAAGGGTCATTATTTAAGCTGATGCTTCATTTCTAAAACATGTTAATATTGTGGTGACTGTCTCTTTGGCTGTGTTCTACAATGAAAAGACTGCAGTAAAATATAGCACATTGTTATGTATCTTATCATTTCTTATGGCTCTTGGTGTGAAAGTGATATTTCATTCTCTCTTTTCATTTTGGAGAATTAGCTGCTAACTTGTTGGTGTTTTTGGTTTTGCATCATACTCTATAATTGTTCAGGTGAGCTTAAAAGTACCTTAAGCAAGCACAAGGGCCCCATTTTCTCCCTCAAGTGGAACAAGAAGGGTGATTATCTCCTAACTGGAAGTGTTGATAAAACTGCCATTGTATGGGATGTAAAGGCAGAGGAGTGGAAGCAACAGTTTGAATTTCACACAGGTACTGACACTTGAATAGGCAACAATTTGAATCAACTTTCTCATGGATACAGTATCTTTTTATGGCCTAAAATTTCCAGATTTATTTGCTTAGGACCAACTCTTGATGTCGATTGGCGCAACAATGTATCATTTGCAACAAGTTCCACAGACAGCATGATCTATCTATGCAAGATCGGAGAAACCCGGCCTGTCAAAACCTTTGCTGGGCATCAGGTTATATTACCGTCATTTACGACAATTTTCCCAGTTGAGGTCCTATTTGAATGTACTGGCTCACAATCCTTGATAATTCCAGTCATGCAAATATCGGTTTACTAATATCTCGTGTGAGTGATTTTGGGTTTTTAAAACTTCAGTGCGAGGTTAATTGCGTAAAATGGGATCCCACAGGTTCTTTGTTGGCCTCATGCTCAGACGATATTACTGCCAAGGTTTTTGTAGCAAAGTTTTGATTGACATGCATGCATTTTTTTTTTACTTTTATTTTGCCTCCTTAATTTTTTAATCTCCGAGTCTACTGTATTTCTGTTTCACTGCATCTTATGTTGTTCATTTCATAGATATGGAGTATTAAGCAGGACAACTTTGTCCATGACCTGAGAGAGCACTCCAAGGTAATTTCAAGTTGTCTTAAGATTCACCGATTGAGGGGTTGGACTTGGAGAAAAGCTTATTAGATATGATTGTTTGGTTTGACCATACACTTTCAGGAAATTTATACAATAAGATGGAGCCCAACTGGGCCTGGAACCAACAATCCAAACCAGCCGCTAATGCTTGCGAGGCAAATACATTCATTTTTTTTGGCAATTCATTTTATTTTCCCCTCAAATGAGATGATACATTCATTTGAAAACACACAAGCGCAGTGCGTCATTCGACTCGACTGTGAAGCTATGGGATGTGGAACTTGGGAAGATGCTCTCCAGCCTGAATGGACACACGTGGGTTTCCACTCCTTGTCTATATTCTATTTAACATCAACTTACATGTAGTCCTTGTGATGATGAACCCACCACTATGCATATATTCTGTAACTAATATTGGAAACGGGAATGGGCAGGGATCATGTGTACTCTATTGCGTTCAGTCCAAACGGGGAGTACATAGCGAGCGGGTCGATGGACAAGTCGATGCACATCTGGTCAATAAAAGAAGGGAAGATCGTCAAGACTTACGCCGGCGACGGTGGAATCTTCGAGGTCTGCTGGAACAATGACGGCACCAAGCTCGCTGCTTGTTTCGCCGACAACTCCGTCTGCGTCCTCGACTTTAGAATGTAAACAGTAAAAAACCCATACAACCTTTTTAGATTTACTAACCCATCAGTATCCGGTTCGATGGTAGTTTCCATGGATGGGCTGTGGATCTAGTATCCGGTACGATGTACCACCCTTTTTTATCGATATAAATACAAATCTTATCAAAAAAAAAAAACCATCATCCCTTTTTCTCTTTTTGTCCAAATTTACTGAAGTTAAACAAGGAGGCTCTTTTTTCAGCTTATTCCCTTGTATTTTTGTTGTCTTTAGGGCTTAGGTTCCGTGTAACTTATTTCCTTCTCATCATGTATTTTTCACCTGCCCTTGCAGACTTGTATTAAAAAAAATGGCGTATCGTAGAAAAAAAAATGAAAATTTGAAATTTGGTAAATAAATAAAGAAATTTTAAATTTTGTATAAAATATATAAATTTTAAAATTTATCGTATAAAATCACAAAAAAAACAAAATTGAATTAATGTTTTTATAGATTTACACACAAAAAATCAAAATTTATGTATTTTTGTATAAAATTAAAAATTTATGTATTTATTTAACAAATTTAAATAGTTTATGTTTTTTCAAAGATATTCCAAACAAAAAATTGGTGTGACAGCAAAAAAAAATGTTGGACTGCGAACGGGAACTATGATGTGGCAGATTGATTTATTTGTTTTTTTTTATGTATGTTATTAAACTTATGAAAAAAATGTGATCGAAAGAAAAGTAAGAGGAGAAGATGAGAAACCCATTTATTGCAATGAAACGACATATATGATTATCACAATCCAACCAACCAACCACCAAGGCTACCTGACCGGTCAGACTTTAAACCACCGGTTTGAACGGCAAACCTATATGTCTGTCAACGAAAGTTAGAGCATTTCGTTGAGTAATATATGCACGTGGTTATCCCTTTTTCTAATTTGTTTATTTCTTTAGTCATTAGTACATGGTTCCGCTTTATTATTAATAACTAAAGTCCCGTGTGATTTATTAGGGAGCGAAACAATTGGCATGAAATATTACCTATTCTTTTATTATTCATATTATATCGTTAATTAAATAAATATTTTTTCTTGCATGGTTAGGCGTATAGGATTCGATAAATCCTAAAATAAGCACAGTTGGGTCTTCAGTCACACCACAGCATCCATGTTGACAATTTATATTCCGTTCCGCATGCGCAATATTGACAAATTCACCCCTGTCCCTCCGAATTTACTAGCCATATCATCTCTTGCCTACGTGGCGTTACCTGATTCGAAATGTGCACCGTCGTCGTCTTGCGGATTCCGCTAGTTTATTATAGCTCCCTCCCAATCCTCGTAAAGCAAATGCTTTAAGAGAGCGAAATCGTCAACCGCAAATTCGAATTCTTACTGTTGGAATCGCTGGTCCCGGAAGATGCCGATGACGGAGACAGAGCGGCCGCTGTTGGCGGTGGAGGAGAGAGCTTACGAGGAGGCGGAGAAAGTGCACATAGTCGGGGTCGACGAGGACGATGACGAGCTCGGCGGCTCCCTGCGGTTCTCGTGGAGGAAGCTATGGCTCTTCACTGGACCAGGGTTCCTGATGAGCATCGCGTTCCTCGACCCGGGAAACCTCGAGAGCGATCTCCAGGCTGGAGCCATCGCCGGGTACTCGCTGCTTTGGCTGCTGATGTGGGCGACGGCGATTGGGTTGCTGGTTCAACTCCTGGCGGCGCGCCTTGGAGTCGCCACGGGCCGACATCTGGCCGAGCTGTGTCGGGAGGAGTATCCGACATGGGCGAGGATGGTGCTTTGGATCATGGCGGAGGTTGCTCTGATCGGCGCTGATATTCAGGAGGTTATTGGGAGTGCCATAGCTATCAAGATTCTGTCTAATGGGTTAATTCCTCTCTGGGCAGGAGTTGTCATCACAGCTCTCGATTGGTAATTTCTATTTTTGTAGGTGGCCTAAAACCATGAAAAGCCCTAAATTTTTAAGATTCTTTTGGCTGGATTCTAGTTGCCGCTACTTGTTTGTAATCTTCTGTGTCGTGGATTTTTGTTGCAGTTTCATATTTCTGTTCCTGGAGAACTACGGCATAAGGAAACTAGAAGCCGTGTTTGCTGTTCTGATTGCAACAATGGCACTCTCATTCGCTTGGATGTTTGGCGAAACAAAGCCCAGTGGAACTGAACTCCTTGTTGGTTGGAATCTCGCTGTCTTTTGTTTTGATCTGAAATCTTTCCTTTTCACTGGAGAAAAGATGCTAACTTTCATGATTTGCAGGTGTCCTGGTCCCAAAGCTCAGCTCGAGAACAATAAAACAGGCTGTTGGTATTGTAGGATGCATCATCATGCCTCACAATGTGTTCTTGCATTCTGCACTCGTGCAGTCGAGGGAGATCGACCCGAAAAAGACACATCGGGTCAAAGAAGCACTCTTGTACTACACGATTGAATCGACTGGAGCTCTCGTAGTTTCGCTTATAATTAACGTCTTTGTGACCACGGTGTTTGCAAAATCATTTTTTGGGACAGAAATAGCAGAGAGTATAGGTCTTGCCAATGCAGGGCAGTACTTACAAGACAAATACGGTGGTGGGTTTTTCCCAATACTCTATATTTGGGCAATCGGGGTATTAGCGGCAGGTCAGAGTAGTACAATCACTGGTACTTATGCTGGGCAATTCATCATGGGAGGATTCCTGAACCTAAGGCTGAAGAAGTGGTTGAGGGCCTTAATAACGCGGAGCTGCGCGATTGTCCCGACCATGATCGTTGCACTTGCTTTTGACTCCTCAGAATCTTTGCTTGATGAGCTGAACGAATGGCTGAACGTTCTGCAATCTGTCCAGATACCCTTTGCTCTTATCCCTCTTCTATGCTTGGTCTCCAAGGAGCAAATCATGGGCAGTTTCCGAATCAAGCCTCTCGTACAGGTACCTATAGATTTTCAATCTTTGTTTTTTCTTTTCCAGATCATACATACGATATTCCTACCTCATTGTTTTAAACTGTTATAAATGCCAGGGGGTAGCCTGGGTAGTGGCTGCATTGGTGATAGCCATCAATGGGTATCTTCTAGTCGATTTCTTCTCAGGGGCTGTAACAGGCGTGGCGTTTCTGACTGCTGTTGTCATTATCACCATTGCTTACATCGTGTTCGTGCTTTATCTCATCGCACGGGGCATTACCTTCACCCCATGGCCTCTGGTGGCGGCGGCTCCTTCAAAACAAACACAGACAGAAGCCGAATAATTTTATCTATGTAGTAGCAGTAGTCTTCCAATCCTTCAGGAGGAGGCCGCGATATCTTGAGGAAATATGGTTGGAGGAACACCAGAAAGAAACAAGTTGTTAAGTGTTGTTGTACGAGGAAAATCCATAGAGTGTTTTGACAAAAAAAAAAATCCGTAAGAGTGTTTTACAAAGGTAAGCCCTTTTTGTTTTTGGCTTTTGCCATTACGACATGTAACCGAGACTGTCTATTTAATACTTCCTCTGTTTAGTTTTATTTGACATTTTAGCTTTCAACACACATATTAAAAAAAATAAAATTTTATCTAAAATATCCCTTTTTAATTATGATGTCTTTATTTTTTCTCTCATACAATATTATAATTATCTATTATTAATGAAAGATAATTTTGAAAAAAATATCAAAAGTATGTAGAAAATATCAAAACGTCATTTATATTAAAACAAAAAAATACTCCAAAATGTCATTTAAAACTAAACAGATGGAGTATTTAGCATGAGTCAGAGTTATGTTCCCGCTCGTAACCGAGACTGCGTTTGTTCTGGAAATTTTTACTTCGTTTTGTGTTTGTGGTTTGTAAAAAAAAATTACCCTTTATTTGTTTTTAAACAGGATAAAATCTGGTTATATAGGTTTCTTATTTAATTTTCAAGTTTTTTATTTTATTTCGATAAAAAAAATGTTAAGGGGAGAGCAAAATGGAAATAAAAATAGAAACGGCAATTTCGAATAAAAAGGGCAAAAAAAATAAAAGGAGAATAAAGATTGGGCCCACACCAATAACGAACATTCTTTAATATCGCTTTTGTTGAGTAGCGGCGTCTTTTCGTAACTCTCGCACGTAGACGCTGTCGACTCTGTCACCACCCACGCCGCCGGTCGCTTTCCGTCCGGGGTTGCGACGGCGGAGAAGTGGACCGTTGCCGGAGACTGTCTTTATCCGGGTACTGAATTGAAAATCGGCGGCGGAGGGAGCCACTCGCTCAGTCGGTGAATTTTTCTCTTCTCTGTTTTCGTCCTTTATCTCTCTTCTAGGGTTCAGGGTTTAAGGATCTCCCAAAATTTTGATTTTTTCTCCCACGGTTTCTGGTTACGAAGTTGTTTTTGGGTGTAATTTAGACTCTCTTCTTGTTAGGGATTTGCCGATTTCGAAAATTTTCCCGGGAAAATTTGTTCTACATCGTTGCTGTCTTTTTCGATAGGATCTTCGTTGAACTGATTGGGATCACTAATTTCAAAATTCTTGTTTCACTCTCTCTTCCGGGGAAAAAAGTTCTCTTTGATCCTCTATCACAGAAATTTGGGAAGGAGTTTGAAATTCGCATGAAAAAATTGTTGGTTTTTTGAAAGTTCGAAAGTTCAATCATCTTGTTGGTTTAGAGATATCTAACCTTAATCGATTGTCTGAATTTGTTTTCAACAATTCAATAACGACGCT